GTTTGGCTCAGTGGATAGAGCATCGGCCTGCGGACTGAAAGGTCCCAGGTTTGATTCCGGCCAAGGGCATGTACCTGGGTTGCAGGCACATCCCCAGTGGGAGATGTGCAGGAGGCAGCTGATCGATGTTTCTCTCTCATCGATGTTTCTGACTCTATCTCTCTCCCTTCCTCTCTGTAAAAAATCAATAAAATATATTTAAAAAAATGTTTTTTTTTTATTGATTTGAGAGAGAGAGAGGGAGTGGGAGAGAAACATTGGTGAGAGAAACATCCATGATGAGCAAGAATGATGGATCGGCTGCCTCCTGGACGCCCCCCTACTGGGGATGGAGCCTGCACCCCCGGGGCATGTGCCCTGACCGGGAATCGAACCGGGGATCTAGGGGTGCATGGGGCGATGCTCCACCAGCTTTTTGTTTCGTTTCGTTTTCCTGTCCTTTGTCATCCCTCGGCGAAGCTTTTCCACATCGCGCAGCCAGAGTGGCTTTCTCTTCCTCTGGCCCCGAGGGACAGCCCTTCCCAGCTGGAGTTTGTTTCCTGGGTGGGTGTGTGTGTGTCAAGTTCTCAGGTCTGTATCGTCCATAATGGTGACTCACAGAGGAAACCAAGAAGGGTTATGAACAAGTCGATTCTGGTGCCAGAGGCGGTTCATTTATTTGGCCCAGTTCTTTGATGTTGTTGCATCACCCACATGAGGGGGGAAAACCACTTATTTTAAACATTTTCGGCTCCTCTGCTGAATGGGCGTGTCAGAGCAGCCAGGGAGTGAATTGGGCTTTTTACAATCACCCGACCGCGCTTTTATGGAGCCCATGAACTTGCAAGTAACGGCTACAGAAGGTTGTCATCAGCATGAAGCAAAAAAATTAAAAAGGCACTTGACCTACAGGTGCCCTTCTTGAAAACGTGGGATCAGGCCCTACCCGGTGTGGCTCAGTGGATAGAGCCTCGGCCTGCGGAGGGAAGGGTCCTGGGTTTGATTCCGCGCCAGGGGCACACGTGCCTGGGTTGTGGGCTGGATCCCCAGTAAGGGGGCGTGCAAGGAGGCAGCCGATCCATGATTCTCCTCATTGATGTTTCTCCTCCTCTCTGAAATCAATAAAAACCTGATGAACAAAAAAATAGATACAGAGGCAGAGAAGCATGGAACAGACTGTCAAATTACAGTGGGAAGGCTGGGGAGGGTTGGGGGAGGCGGAGGTAAGAGATCAACCGAAGGACTTGTATGCATGCATATAAGCATAACCAATGGACAC